TTGCAGAATTTCCCACAGCCTGGATCTGGCTTGTTATAGCTCTGTATAGTTTCATATGCTGCTCTGGCCTCTGTACTTTCCGTAAATATGGTAGTTGGATCTAGAGAATTAGTCAAACTCGTGTACAAGTTTTTTGGAAAGACTTTGTAGTTGGTATTGCATCCTTCCATCAAGAGATGCGTAAGTCTGGTTGTCCCTCTTTTTGTGATGACAGTAGTTACTGATGAACTGTGTTCATAGCCCTTCCTATCCAAGTCTCTCCAGTAAATTTAGTTGTGGGGAGTTTTTTCTTTGAGAGAATCCTAAGGAAGTTCTCCTTTTCTCAGGCACATTGTATTCTTATACTACCTTAGTTTCCAACACAGTGGTGACTTCCCACTTATTTGTGAGGATTTTAGAGAGAGCTTGTCACCAAGTTGTTAGAGGTGCTGTCTGTGGTTTTCTGGGTTTGCTATTCTAGTTGAACTATCCCTTTGGTAAGATTTGGAGATATTTAAAAGCTACATAACCACCTCTCTTCAACATTAGAACTAAGTTGTTTTTAGTATCTCAAATTGAACACTTAAAGTCACTGATTTTCATATTAAATTTTTAAAGTAAATGTATTTAACATTAAATGTACCACAAGTACCCATTTAGTTTTATGTTGTCAGTTTTACTTTTTTAATGTTAACTCCAATCATATGGTTTAAATGGGGTCTACTAAGTTTCTCCATAATAAAGCCAATTTTCCTCTGCATCTGGTCAGTTTGAAGTATTTTCACTGGCAGTCAGTGATAAGTAATTTGTAATTTATTGTTTATATTTCCCTTTAATCAATGAATCTATGGCTGTAAATTTTTAAGCTTATGAGAATACAGAAAGTTTTTGCTATCCTTTCTTTTTTTTTTAAGACACAGTCTCACTTTGTCACCCTCAGTAGAATGCCATAACGTCATAGCTCACAGCAACTTCAAACTCTTAAGCTCAAGGGATTCTCTTGACTCAGCCTCCTGAGTAGCTGGGACTACAAGCATCCACCATGCTATGTGGGTATTTTTAGAGATGAGGTCTCTCTCTTCTTCAGGCTGTTCTCGAATTCCTGAGCTCAAGCAATCTACCTGCCTCTGCTTCCCAGAGTGCTATTATAGATGCGAGCCACTGCACCTGGCCTTTATTATCCTTTCCTATTGCTTTACACATAAATAACATTGTACTCAGGCAGGCACAGGTCACACATAAATAACATTGTACTCAGGCAGGCACAGGTCTGTTTATGTTATTGATTCTTTGATATTTGTTTAATTTCACCTGCGAGCAAGTAATGGATAAGTTAAGTTAAACATTCCAAGTGACTTATACTTCCAACCTTTAGGTATAGAATTTTGTGGATGTCTGTATATGTAAGCCTGCCTACCCACACAAATACATATACATGCATGCATGTTGACACGGCTATCAAATTTTAAAAATAAATATGAATTAATCTTCTTAATCATGTTTTCCAGATTATCTATATCTTTCCTTATTTTGTCTGCTTAATCCACTGGCTTCTGATTGAAGTCACTTAATATCTTCTACCATGATTATGAATTTGTCCAACTTAATGTTTAATTCTTCAGTTTTGCTTTATGTATTAAGGCTATGATGCTGAATACATAAAAACTCTTAATTCCTAAGACTTCTTGGTGATGTATAATCACTCTACATTCCTATTTATCATTTTTCTATAACTTCTACCTTGCCCAATATTAATATTGCTGTACCAACTTTCTTTTGTGCTTGATATATCATTTTCCTGTCCTTTATTTTCAACCTCTGGTGTGGTTTTGTTTCAGGTTTCTCTAAGTGAAAAACGTCCAATCTAATAATGTGCGCCTATAGTTAGTAAATTTAACCCATTTAAATTTATGAATACTGATTTATTTGGACTTAGATCTACACCTTTAAGGTGATGTTTCTATTTACCACACTTTTTTTTCTTTTCTTCCTGACTTCTGTTAAATTGAGATCATTTTATACATTCTTACTTTGTACTCCATCAGTGCAGAATGTATACGTTGTATTGCAATCTAATTAATAAAATTTAATAAAATCTGAAGTTACTCAGTATCTGCAGTCTTTTTTCACATATGATAAGAACCTTAGCACATTTTAATCACCTATTTATTGCCCCTTCCGATTTGTTACTGTTGGTGAGAGTTTCATTCAAAAGGACCTAAGGGTATCCAATCTTTTTTCTTTTCTGCTACACACTAGAAGAAGAACTGTCTTGGGCTACACATTAAATACACAAACACTAATAAAAGCTGATGAGCGAAAGAAAAGGTCTGTGCATATTGTTCATGATCTCCAACACCACAGGTAAGCAAAATAGTCCTCAAATAATCTGCACGTGGCCTGCAGGTCACAGGTTGGACACCCCCAAACATATTGTTGCTGTTTATCCATTTCTGTGTTTATTATTTTTCCTATCCTGCACCTCGGCATTCACTTTTCTACTTGCTGATATACCCTGACAGTGATAAAATAATAATTTAAAAGATTAAATAACAGGAAAACTTTAAAAGATAATATTTTTAAAATTACATCTATAGCATTATTTCAACTATCTAAAAAATCCTATTCATAGAGAAATAAACTGAAAGAAGAAAAAAGACATTTTCTTGAGCGTTAAGATTAGGTCAACCTTCATACCATCATTTTATCCGTTCATTTATTTACTTATTTAGGGATAGAGGCTAACTCTATCACCCTGGGTAGAGTGCCATGGCATCATCATAGTTCACTGCAACCTCAATCTCTTGGGGTCAAGTTATCCTCTTACCTCAGCCTCCTGAATTGCTGGGACTGTAGGCACCCACCAGGACACCCAACTAGTTTTTTCTATTTTTAGTAGAAATAGGGTCTTCCTATTGCTCAGGCTGGTTTCAAATTCCTGAGCTCAAGCAATCCACCTACCTTGGCCTCCCAGAGTGCTAGGATTACAGGCATGAGCCACCACCCTCAGCCAGTACCAACACTTTAGTTGAGACCAGAAATTCAGAAAACACTACCATTTACCATTTCCCCCCTCCCACACTATTCTTGGAACAAAAGCTCCCCTTGGGTCATAAGCAGTTCCTATTTACAAAACAGTTCCATGAAAATAAGCTGAATACAATAAAATAAATAATGAATTCAGAAAACCTAGTCCAGTTTTATCTCCACTACAGACTGGTTAGACAACCTTGATGAGTCAGTAAGCCTCAGATTCTTCGTGGTTAAAGAGGAAATAATCTACCTCATAAGGTTTTTATTAAGGGGAATAAATCAAACAGTGAACATGGACACCCTTACCATGTAAGATTAGATACACTGCTTAGACATGTGTGCATAGACTTTTAAATGACAAGGCAGAAAATACAGTAACATCGTGAGACTAGATTAGCCATTTGTGTTAACCACTAAATTGGACTAGACTTAAAACAAAATGAAACTGGTAAGGGATGATTCCCCACCCACTTCCCATTACCCACCTTCTGTGGCCGCCTTGACTTTCCTTCATTTAAAATGCTAGATTCATCTAACAGCCTTCACAGCCTCCTTCACGGCATGCAGGCTTACAGATCAGCATGCATGTTCCTTTCTTACTCTTTAATGAGTTCAAATGGGCTGAGCATTTATCCGCTTCCAGGACCTGGATATCACTTTACTGGCATTAGGTCTCCTCTTGCACATTAATTTTTAGAGACAGTCTATCACTTGATCATGTATCAATAATATTTCCCAGACTTGGAACCATCTTTGTTCATCTTGCTTTATTTTCCTAATAAATCTATAACCTAACTAGTAGTTATTATTTCTAATTTAGAAAACAGTCATTCTGTGAGTAAGAATATTCACCTAAGCTCCCTTGAGATGCAGCATGGATGGCATTTTTGTGTAAGGCTACTCTATTATTGTGTTATCATAGAGTCACAGGATAATAGCACATCCTAAAGCAAACAGAATGAAGAGGATGGGAGGACCATCCTGTTCAGTTGTCTCCTACTACAGCACTTATTTAATACAACAAAACAAGGATTACTTATTACTCTAAGGATCCTATACTACTTGTCTTTATATTAACAAGCCATTTAGCTTGTGTTTGCAGGAGGAAGTTTTGTGATCATAGTAATTCCTCCTGTTCCAATGAACACGTTTAGAAGACTTGCTAAAGGAGTAAAGTGAAATACATGCTGTGCCTGGTTTAATGCCATTTGTTTCTGATGTGAAAATACATATGGGATTAAAAATACTGTGTATGCATGAGGGGAGAGTAGTATTGCAACATTTTAGAAAAAGGAATCAAGCTCTGGGGATTTTCATAATTTACAAAAAAAAAGATGCACATAATATATTGGATCTAATTATCTAAAAGATGCAAAGATTCACGTGCATTTGAGAATGGCCAGAATATCATATTCCCTGATTAAAAAGGCTCTATACATCCAAACTTAGACTTCAAGAACAGTAACACCTGAGACATCCCACATAAGCATGCAAAGCAGGGGAAGGGAAGGGAAGGAAGAGCTTAGGGACAAGAACACAGTCCAAGCCAATAAATCAGCAGTCTCCTAAGGTACATAAGAAATTCATTAATCTCTAACAGCATGAAAACATCATTAACTTCTGCTAAGTGAGGACCAGAATAAGCTGACCACAGATTTCAGCGTTGCCTCTTCAGCTATCCTGAAATAAGGGTGAATTTGAGCCACATTCACGAGAAGTGACCCAAAGAAAGGTCAGTAGTGAGAGACAGGTTAACAACAGACAATTGAAAACAAGGGCCTACTGATTACTGCAGTTACTAACACAACAAATCAATCAAAAGATACCAAAGTGGGCCTGTACAAAGGACATCATTAAAGAAGGATTCACCAAAGCAAAGTAAGTTCAAGCAAGAATGACTGTGTCTGCTTCACAGAGATAAACTTTAGTGACTTGAACCCAAAATTTCCATGGTATCCTTCAGCTGTGAAAAACGTCTGAAGACTCACCTCGTGCTTGGAGAAGAGCCGGACAGCTTCCAGCTGGTGGAAAACAGGGTAGTGCTGGGCGTCAATCTGGTCGCGCCTGTAGACATCGCCCACCACGATGAAGGCGTCCAGCCCAGCGTGCAGCAAGTCCCACTGGTGAGCTGACGTGTGTGCTCTCAGCATGTGTGTCCGATTTAGGTAATAGTTGTCCCCCTTCTTCCTACTGGGGTGGTCAGCTGGGATGAGCAGACTGTCAAAGTTCTGCCAGGTGGTGACCACTGGAGAAAGGTTGTCGTAGACCGAGAAAAGTGGAGTCCCGAAGCGGCCCACATACTGCTTGTAAAAATGCTCCTTCACCCTCTCCTTGATCAGCCACAGAGGGTGGTGCTGCTGGTTGTGCAGATTCCTGCCTACCTTGGAGAGGACCTTCCGGCTGAGATTGGTGTGGTCATCCTGAGGGTAGGACTTGCCCAGCAGCTCCACCACACCACCAGGAGCTCCTGGGGCAGCAAGATCAGAAGCAGCAGGCCTCCAGCCCCAGCTCTGATGCTGACAGCCTCGGGACACATAACTGGCCTTGCTCACCAGGTGGACACAGGCACAGGAGACTCTACTGAGGGCTGAAGCAACCATCATAGAGACTTCTCGCAGATTCTGGAGAGAGCACACAGGCAAAGCAGAAGTCAAGTTTCACTCTGTGGAAAACAAATACGTCCTCAGTGTCTCCCAGAAATTCCCCACTGTCCTACTGACATGTATGTTTCTCCCACCACCACCTCCACACAACTGGAAGATACAATTTTAAAAATCTACCGACAGAGGCTTCATGTTTACTAAATGAAATTGAAAGTTTCTCGAAAGTCACTGTTAGGTCCCTAATCTCTAATTGTCCTTCCTTTCTAATTTAGATTTTTGGCATTGTATAAAAAGTCCTTTATCACACTGTTTGGAAATCCTGATGTGGAACAAAACTTTAAATGTGACAACTTCTACACTCTAAAACCAAAAAACTTTAGAGGGATAACCTAGAATACAGGACTGGTTTGGATCCTAGTAAGGGTCTTAGTGATTACATACAGGCCTCTGAAGGATAATAAAAGAGAAGCCATTTTCAATAGGCATCCTTTCTTTACATTTCTGCTTCTGTCCTCTTAACTACCAAGTTCTGTTTATCCTCGGCAGAGCATGACTTCTAGATTAATCCACTAGATCACAAAATGACATTGATAATATACTCTTTAAAAAAACACTTTGAATAAAATACACCATTTTAGGTGGTGGTTATCTTTAATATTTGAAAAATTAAAAATAGAAAACTTAAGGAAATGTGATAGAAAGTGATAGACTATACCAACAGACAGCTGACACTATTTTTACAAATATAAATCTTTCCTATCTTGACATCTGGTCATTGTCATTTAAACTCAATACCACTGTAGCATCCCCTCAATAATGTGTTTGTTTTGTAAAATCACACATTTCTAGTGCACACCCAAAACAGACCAGGCACAGGATAAAGCTTCCCAAAGAAAAAACCGAAAACAGAATACTGACTCAGTGTTTTCTTAAAAAGAAAAACTGCCTAGAATTTAATAAGATCACCAAATTTCATAGCTCAAAGTCACCTCGGTTGTAATCTACTCTGCGCTGTTCCTGTCACAGATGAGATGACCCAGCCTCAGGTATAGCAGACCAAACTCAAAGCTTAGCAGTAAAGAGTCAAGACAACAGAAGAGGATTCCAGACCACTAATGCAGTTTTCCTCCACACTACGCAAAAGCCAGTCTTAAAATCACTGAGCAGTCTCGGGAATGAGCATTACATGTCAAATCCTAATGTTCGTATGTAATTTAAGCTCATAAACTTAAACCCCACAAATCTATCTTCTAAAATTTGGAATTTTTTTCTATTAGGCTAAGTTTAAAGCATACCACTATGTGATTATTTTACTTCAAGGGCCACACAACCATACCAAGAAAATACACAACTTCATGACATTAAGATGTCTTAGAAGAGAATTCTGTTGTTCCCAGAGATCATCAGAAATGTAGCTACTTTGTACCTGAGCAGCACAAGTCACTTCATTCAAAATTAGGAACTTAGAACATCTAGCTTCAAGTTGTTGTACTTGTGTGTGACTGCTTCTTATGAGCTGGTGCATAGCCCTGCTGTCTGAGATTGTCATCACGTGTAAGTTTTCAAAGACACGCAGGAACTCTCTGGATTTATTCACTTACGGCATTATTTTGTCAGAGCTGCTTCAAAAGAACTTTTGGCCGAGCTGCAACTGGAACACATCTCGTCTCCATTGTTCTGTGGTTTGTCACTGCAGTGGATGTGAACTTTATATATGCATGTGCAGCGTGCCTTACACATCTCAGCACAAAGTCAGACTGCTGGGTTGTTAGCTACCCAATTCAGCACCCTCAACAAAACACAAGGAAGCAGTTCTTCCTTCCAAAGGCATATGCTGTTATACAAAGTTCAGAATTGTTCTGGGAAAGGTGCTTTGATGCAGTTATCTGTGGCTTGCTGACTACTCTTCCTTCCTGTTTCCAGCTCCTCACACTCAAAGGCCCCTTTTAGCCTTTGTCCCCACAGATGTGCCCTATCCTCACGTCCCTTCCTTGTTCTCACACAATCCCCAGAGTGCCCATCAAAGTTTATTCTTCCTGTCCTTGTTTTCATGTCCTTTGGCCTCTCAGCACAGCCCTGCTTATATTCTCCACTGTTGTTCTCCCCATCCAAACCAGTGCCTGTCCTTTCTTTTGTCATTTCTTACAGAGAGAGATAAATGACACGAATAGCTTTCCCACTTCTACCTACAGAGCAAATTCCTTTCCCTCTGCCTTTCTTTTTTTGTAGAGACAGAGTCTCACTTTATCCCCCTCGGTAGACTGCCATGGTGTCACACAGCTCACAGCAACCTCCAACTCCTTAGGCAATTCTCTTGCCTCAGCCTCCCAAGTAGCTGGGACTACAGACACCTGCCACGGTGCTCGGCTATTTTTTGTTGCAGTTTGGCCAGGGCTGGGTTTGAACCTGCCACCCTCGGTATATGGGGCCG